TTACTAAGCGAACAATGTAATATTACGGAATTTGGGGTGCGAGGAGGTAAGAGGCAAAAGTAACAACTGTGTAAGAGGGGGGGGGGGCAAAAATTCCCCAAAAAGGTGTAAGATTCTATTGGAACAGGCCCTTTCCTTATGAAATGCCTCGGGAATCAAATTAAATGGCAGAAATACCAGACACCGAATTTCTCAAAAGACCAAATGCCAAGAGTCTGTTTTTCTAAGCTCAAAAGGACTCAACTTCAATGAGCTGGCCACGTCGTAAAAATGTCTGATTTCAGATTTCCAAAGGCAGTGTTCTATTCTGAACTGTCCTCATGGAAACGTAAGGTTGGCGCACAAACAAAAAAAAAGCGCTACAGGGACACCCTGAAAATGTCACTGCTTGACTTCAACATAAATTCTTCGACGTGGGAGAGTCTAGCTCTTGAAAGAAACAACTGAAGTGCAACATGGACAGCAAGAGGCTTCACGAAAAAGAAATGCTGAAACCAAGAGGGAAATCCGCAAACTGCGCACATCCACAAGTGGAAGCGGAGCCTTTAAATGTTCAAAATGTGGCGAAATTTTTCACAGACAGAATTGGTCTCATCGGCCACAGCAGAAGCCCCAGGCCTTATTAACCCTTAATTCTTCAAATGTTTCTATTTCGGTGGAGAGATATTGTCTGCGGACTGCAGATGTATTGGTCATCGTCAGACATTGACAGGCGAGCTATTTTTATTATTATAATGCTTCAGCGAACTTACTAGTTCCCGTAATTAAACTTTGAATTTTTTCTCCCTGTATCCAATCAAATTAATCTCAAACAGGGCCGAAAATGTCATTTTAAGAAAGTGGTAGCTTTTGTATTCAATGAAAGTGGCAAATCTCAATATAACTGGTTAAACCGTAAAAGCTAATAAATAATTTTACCGTACGTTCCTCTTTTAAATAATAGGGCGTTGGGCCGCCATTTCTGAACACTCAAAGCTCAGTTGTATCATGCTGAACCTCCGTGTGAATGACGTTGGCTCGAATTCTCAGATCAGCGTTTTTAAACTTCCATTGTTTAGAGATTTCTTCAAGGTCCCTTTCGACCTGGTTTGGTCTCAATGAAAATGGGGGTACGTCGAAAGTTCCGCATCCTAATACGGAATCGAAAGGATTGTTAAGCCGTACCATACCAATCAAAACTTTCCCCAAGTGACACCCAATAAGCTCCTCACGGATATCCTTTAACTATCCCTCGGATGTTATTTTCATTAATGTCTATAACATCAGATAGATTGGTTGTTTGGGCACCTCAAAGAAGTAGAAGGTAATCAATAATATCAGATATCAGAACCTTTGCATAAATCCAGTGACTCTTTCAAAATCAAATGAATAAGACATGTGCCCACATTCTGATAAAACGTATCCACAACGTTTCATGAGCACATTTTTAAGCAACACGTCCAACTGTTAATTCAGATCCATCTTAACGTACACATTATTCTGTTTTGGATTCCGGAACGTTTTTACTTTCATTTTATTTCTTTTTTTTAACGGTTTGCGGGTGAGGAAGGGGGGGGGGGTAAA